TCTCTATGACTATTCTAGCTTTCTCATAGAAGTAGAATATGCAATTGTTCTCTTTTGGTTACTGCTTGATTTCACTTAGGATAATGTTCTTAAGTTTCATCTCCGGTTTTCTGGTGGTTTATTGGAGATAGGAGTCTCACAGTCTCTCCTGCCCGGGCTGGCTTTGAACCGTGATCCTCAGATCTCAGCCTCCTGACTACTTAGGATTACACCAGCGCCCGGCTAAAAACTTAAATTTTTTAAGGGAAAAGTTTCTTAGGCCATTGTATATAGCATAAGACCATCTATGATTAAGAAAGATGGTTTTATCTTAGACATCAGTGATGGATTCCTTTTAACTAAATATAAGTAGTTCCCTCCTTCTTTAGAGATATTACCTACCAACATTTGTACTAGAAAACAAATTCAACTCAAGAATGTCCTGCTGGGTGCCAATGGCTCACACCTATAATCCTAGCTACTCAGAAGGCTAGGATCTGAAGACTGTAGTTTGAAGCCAACCTGGACAGAAAAGTCTTTGAGACTCTGATCTCCAATGAAACTACTAAGAAAAAGCTGGAAGTGGTGCTGTGGCTCAAATGGTAGAGCGCTAGCCTTGAACACAAAGAAGCTCAGAGAGGTGCCCAGGCCCTGAGTTCAGGCCCCAGGACTGGGGAAAAAGGATGGCCAGAGGAGCTTGTTTTTTGTTTTCCTGTGAATATGCCCAAATCTTATACAACTGTTATCTTGTAGCTGCTAACAGATAATGGGTCAAATTGTTGATATTTGTACCCAGGTTTTGGGTTTTTTTTTTTTTTTTGGTCCGGTAGTGGGGCCTGAACTCTGGGCCTGGGCGCTGTCCCTCAGCTCTTCAGCTCAAGGCTAGCGCTCTACCACTTGAGCCACAGCGCCACCTCCGGTTTTTTTCTTTTTTGCTTATGTGGTGCTAAGGAATCGAACCCAGGGCCTCAGGCATGCAAGGCAAGCACTCTACCACTGAGCCATCTTCCCAGCCCCCCCAGGTTTTAGTTTTATACTATGGGTCTAATTTAGTTTTGGGACTTTGTTTATATGTAATGTTTACTTGAAGTGTAACTGTCCTAAAATACACAAACGTTAGGAGTAAAAATTTCTGGACATGGTATGCAGCTCAGTGGTAGAGCACTTGCTTAGCATGTGCAAGGCCCTGATGCTGGAGATTGAACTTGGAGACCATTGCTGGGTAAGTAGTCTACTGCTGAGCTAACCTCCAGCCTTTTTTTTTTTTTTTATTCTGGTCATGGAGCTTGTACTCTTGGCCTGGACTCTGTCCCTGAGCTCTTTCGCTCAAGGCTAGTGCCTTGAGCCATAGAGCCACTTCTGGTTTTCTGGTGGTTAATTGGAGAAAAGAGTCTCATGGACTTTACTTCCTGGGCTGGCTTTGAACCGCGATCTGCAGATCTCAGCCTCCTGAGTAGCTAGGATTACAGGCATAAGCCACCGGTGCTGAAAACATGGGTTCATTTCCTTCCTCAAAAACTTGATGACTATCATTCTTACAAGAATAGAGTTGGATGAGGCTAGAAAGGTGGCTCAGTGGTAGAGTGCTTGCCTAGCATGCATGAGGCCCTGGGTTCGATTCCTCAGCACCATATAAGCAGAAAAAGCTGGAAGTGGTGCTATGGCTCAAGTGGTAGAGCACTAGCCTTGAGCTGAAGAGCTGAGGGACAGCTCCCAGGCCCAGAATTCAAGCTCTACACCGACACATACACACACACACACACACACACACACCCTACACCGACACACACACAGAATAAAGTTGGAGGCTGAGAATGTGGCTTAGTGCTTGCCTATCATGCATTAAGCCCTGGTTTCAATTTCTCAGTACCCCATACACAGAAAAAGTCAGAAGTGGCACTGTGGCTCAAGTGGTAGAGTGCTAGCCTTGAGCTGAAGAAGTTCAGGGACAGGTACAGGCCCTGAGTTCAAGCCCCAGAATAAAGTTGGATATTCATCAGCATCAAGTTCAAGGTTCAAATATACCTAGCAAATAAACCAACCTTCCTTACACTTCTCCTAAACTACTGGTGGTCATCTATATCTTCCTACAGTAATGTCTGCTTCCTCTCCTCCTTGTACTCTCCCCTTTTGTATCAAATACTATCTTTTTTTTCTTTGTCGGTCATGGGGCTTGAACTCTGGGCTTGGGTGCTGTCCCTGCACTCTTCAGCTTAAGGCTAGAGCTCTACCACCTGAGCCACAGCGCCACTTCCATTTTTCAAGTGGTTTATTGGAGATAAGAGTCTTACAGCCTAGGCTCGCAGTGAACTATGATCCTCAGATCTCAGCCTCCTGAGTAGCTAGGATTACAGGCATGAGCCACTGGCACCTGGCATTCAAATACTATTTTTTGAGGCCCAACTGTAAACAATTTTTACTTTTTTATTGGTGGTGGTGCTGATAGTCTTGCTTGAACTTGGCCTGGGCTCTGTCCCTGAGCTCTTTCTCTCAAGGCTAGCACTCTGCTACTTGGAGCCACAGCACCACTTGTGGTTTTCTGGTGGTTAATTGGGTATCTCCAATTAACTGGTCTGGCTTTGAACCACAATCCTCAGATCTCAGCCTCCTGAGTAGCTAGGATTACAAATGTGAACCACCAGCACCTTTTTTTTCCTATTTACTAATTATATAATTAATATAATTAATTATTAATGAATAAACTATGGATTCCATTAGCTCAATGCAATTTCTTTTTTGGGGGGGGTCTGGTCGTGGGGCCTGAACTCTGGGCCTGGGCACTGTCCCTCAGCTCTCCAGCTCAAGGCTAGCACTCTACCACTTGAGCCATAGTGCCACTTCCGACTTTTTTCTTTTTGCTTATGTGGTGCTGGGGAATTGAACCCAGGGCCTTAGACATGCAAGGCAAGCACTCTACCACTGAGCCACCTTCCCAGCCCCCTCAATGGGGGGCCAACTTCCCAGAGGAAATTTCTAGTAATCAAAATTAACCACCTTTTCCTGGAAGAGGTGATTTTACCTTTTTTCAAAGCTCTTCAGATATCTTAGAGAATACAGCTTATATGTTAATCACATTTATCTTTTCTTGCCCATACCATCTACAGTTAATTTCCAGCTAGGCTACTTATCCTTTAATTTCTGAACATATCTTACACATCATAGATAGACCTGTTGCTCAAAAACCATATAGGAAGCCTTGTTCCAGTGGTTCCACTGCTGTAATCCTAGCTACTCAGGCTGAGATCTGAGGATCATGGTTCAAAGCCAGCTCAGGCAGGAAAGTCTATGAGACTTGATCTCCAATTAACCACCAGAAAACCAGAAATGGCACTGTGGCTCAATGTACTAAACTGCTAGCCTTGAGATGAAAAAGCTCAGGGACAGGGCCCAGGCCCTGAATTCAAGCCCCATGACTGACCAAAAACAACAACAAAAATGGAGGAGGAATGTGGCTTAGTGCTTGCCTAGCATGCATGAAGCCCTGGATTCAATTGCTCAGCACCACATAAACAGAAAAAAACAGAAGTGGTGCTGTGGCTCAAGTGGTAGAGTGCTACCCTTGAGCAAAAGAAGCTCAGGGCGATGTGAAGGGTAAACAAAGGAGGAGGCTGCAATGCTTGGTAAGAAATGTACGCATTATCCTGCCCATGTAATTGTAACCCCTCTGTACAGTATGTTCACAAATAAAATAAAATTAAAAAAAAAAAAGAAGCTCAGGGCCAGGGCCAGGCCCTGGGTGCAAATCCTAGGACTGGAAAAAAGAAAAAATATGGGAGTTGCGAAATATCAAGAAAGCAGGAAGGCACAATTCAGCCAGCTTATTGCTATAAATGCTGGGACAAATATCAGAATTTTAGTAATCATGTAATAATCTTAGGTGTTTGATTAAAACCACGAATAAGTCAAATTTTCTAAGATCAAAGATTTGGGAGATCAGCATAAAGTCTACTAATTACTACAAAAAAATAAAATTGATGCCTGGAAAATTTGTGGAATTTTCTGACCTTAAAATGAGTTTCCATCTGTTCGTAAGAAATATACCTGAACCGCGCAGTGCAAGTGAAGGGTACCTGTTTAGATGCTCTCCAAGTCCTTGGCTATGGAGTCTTTGGCTCATCCTGGTGCACTCAGCTTGCCTGCTGGAGTTGCTTGTGGCATATGCCTGGGATGGGGCCTCAGGATGTGCTTTGGGATGCCACCCACACGCCTGACAAGTGAGCCGGATGCAGAGACCAGAACTGAAGCAAGCATCATGGGAAAAGGAAAAGTTGCTGCCCAGTGCTCTCATGCTGCTGTTTCTGCCTACAAGCAAGTCCAAAGGAAAAACCCTCAAGTGCTCAAACAGTGGGAATACTGTGGCCAGCCCAGAGTGGTAGCCACAGCCCCTGATGAAGAAACCCTGATCAAATTGCTGACCCATGCAAAAATGCTGGGGCTGACTGTAAGTTTAATCCAAGATGCTGGACGTACTCAGACTGAACCAGGCTCTCAAACTGTCCTAGGAATTGGGCCAGGACCAGCAGACCTAATTGACTAAGTTACTGGTCACCTAAAACTTTACTTGATGGGTTTTTGAGTGATGGTAATCCTGTCACAGTGTTTGAAACCTGTCAAATTATAATAAAACTAGATTTCTTCCCCAACTTAAATATCCTCAAGATGAAAAAAAAAAAAAAAGAAATATACCTGAATCTGCCAGAAGGAATGTCAGCCCTCACAACCCTTTGCAAGCTCATTTCCTTTCTTTCCAGGATTGATGCTTAAAATCTCTATTCAAAATCTGCCCTAAAATGAGTGTGGTGCTAGATGCCTGTAATTCCAGCACTCAAGAGATAGTCAGTTTACCAACAGTAGATTGCTAGGAAATCTGAATGTTATATAGTCCTCACTTCATCCTTATTTTCACTACTTGCTATGGGGCAATCACTACCATGAATTTAGTGAGTAATCTAGCATTCTTCGTTTTTATGTGTTAATATAGATGTTTTTAAAAATGAGTAGTACAGGGCTGGGAAGGTGGCTCAGTGGTAGAGCACTTGCCTTGCATGCATGAGGCCCTGGGTTCGATTCCTCAGTACCACATAAGGAAAAAGAAAAAAGCTGGAAGTCTCAAGTGGTAGAGCTGAAGAGCTGAGGGACAGTGCCCAGGCCCAGAGTTCAAGCCCCACGACTGGACCAAAAAAAAAAAAAGAGTAATACAAGTAGTATCTATTACTTTTCAATTTGTTTTTCTTCTCGTTATATTTGGATTAGATACAAATCTAGTACATTATACTAGTCTCACTATTTTATACTATATAAATGTATTATCCATTTCCTTATAAATTGACATTATATCCATTTTTTCTCATGCAATAAATATCCTTTTTTATCTCCACATGCACATCCTAGTTTCTCTAGGATATTGCTCTCTTCTAAGATGAATTATTTACTCAAAGGCCTATTTCACATTCCAGAACCTTTCTACTTTAAGACTGTCCGACTATATATTTTATTCTTATGTTCATTCAGCAGGATTCCACAGGATTTCTGGTATTTCCTCAGCATTCACTATGATTTATAATAAAAACTCAAAAACTTGCTGTCAATTTTTTAACCAACACCTTCATTACTACAAGATATCTCAGTACAGGTAGGTTTGTAATGTGGTAACAGGAATCCTTGTCTACAGGAGGGAAGTAGTGCATTCTTGAATAAAGCAAATTACCTTTGTGCTAATTCACTTTTGCCTCAAGCTCCACTAATATGTGTAATACTGTTGGTGTATCATCCAGCAAGGTTAAATAATTAAAATTCACCTATCTGGGAAATGTAATGAAGTAGAAAAACTAATTTCTTGAGACAATGCCAGACACTTAAACACATTTAAAACGCTATGCTTCAGGTTTCTGAGCCTGAGAAATTGGAAGGCAACAACCAGAATTCTTTTAAGTATTGAAAAGATGCAAGGTGCAAGGAATTCAATTATTATTCTCCACTGATCCATTTGATTACTCCCATAAGCAGTACCTCAAACCATGGAAATTTAGTTCTTAGCATTCTTAGTTACCACTAAGGTATAGTCTCTATGAAGAGACTAATTTGCATGTAGATGAGGCTTTTATAGATGTAGAAACTTCAAGGAAGAGTCTTATTTTGCTGTCTTATTTTGCTTTTTTTTTAAAAAATGTTACTAATTTTTCTATGAATATCCTTGTACATGTTTCCTGATAAGCTTGGGTGTCAGGAGGGTCAATACTTATAAATGAGGGATGAGCTTGTTAAAAAAAAAAAAAAAAGGAGGGGAGATGGGAAGGTGGTAGAGTGCTTACATTGCATGCATAAGGCCCTGGGTTCAATTCCTCAGCACCACATAAGCAGAAAAGCTGGAAATGGCACTGTGGCTCAAGGGGTAGAGCACTAGCCTTGAGCTGAAGAGCTGAGGGACAGTGCCCAGGCCCAGAGTTCAGGCACCATGACTGACAAAAAAAAAAAAAGGATAGTTTAAATATCCAACCTGGGCAAGAACCTATCCAAAAACCACAACAAAAACTTGCTGTTTCTGTCCTTAGTCAAAACTGGCTCCCTCTTTTCTGTAATCAAATAATTTAATTATGTTCCTTCCTTAGCACTACTTGTGGGACAATCAGCAATAGAAACAAGACAGCTTTGAGCTTAGGACAGCCCAAACCTTTCATCATGCTTTTTGTTTTTTTTTAAACTTAAAAACATGAAAAAAAAAAAAAAACCATGGCTGAGAATTAAGGGTCCAGATACTCAAAGAACCTAGTCAATCACCACAGCCAACGTACCTCACTACAGTTCTCTACCTTCACCGGATGATTCTAGCTGTACCCTCCCTTCCTTTTCCAGGTTCATTCTGGGCCCTAGTGCTTAAGGGAATTAACATTGCCTGATCTTGGGTTAGTTCTTTTTCACTATTACCACGCATTTCAACAAAATACTGATTAAAAAACTAAAACAAGTATTGCGGTGGGCTTGATAGTCTTTGCCTGTAATCCCATTATTATAATCCTAGGCATTAGTGAATCCAAGGTCAGACTGGGTTATGTAGCTACACCCTGTCTCAAAATGAGAAGGTGGGCTAGGAAGGTGGCTCAGTGGTAGAGCGCTTGCCTTGCATGCCTGAGGCCTTGGGTTTGATTCCTCAGTACCACATAAGCAAAAAAGAAAAAAAGCCGGAAGTGGCGCTGTGGCTCAGGTGGTAAAGCGCTAGCCTTGAGCTTAAGAGCTGAGCGATAGTGCCCAGGCCCAGAGTTCAGGCCCCACAACCGGACCCAAAAAAAACAAGAAGGCACTATTGCTTTTAAGGTTAATTTGAAGTCATTTGAATTCAGTAGGCAAAAGTATTACTAACTTTTCTCAAGCCTAATGTGAAGGGATTCTTCAGTTGAAGTTCCAAATAAATCCAGTATTCCAATTTTATTTGGGATGGAAAGAGAAAGGTAGAGGAAATGAAAAGGGAAGGTAAATTTAAGACTCAGGTATGGTTTTTCTCATCTAAATCACCTTACAGAATCATGTACTCAATTCCTTCTTTTCTTGTATGGAAATACTACCCAATTATTCAGAAAAGTTTGTTATGAGCCAAACTTTAGCTTTGCATATGGAAACTGCCTGTTAAATTTTTTAGAATTTTCTTGGCAAGGGCTGGGAAGGTGGCTCAGTGGTAGAGCGCTTACCTTGCATGCCTGAGGCCCTGGGTTGATTCCTCAGCAACACATAAGCAAAAAGAAAAAAGCCAGAAGTGGCACTGTGGCTCAAGTGGTAGAGTGCTAGCCTTGAGCTGAAGAGCTGAGGGACAGCTCCCAGGCCCAGAGTTCAGGCCCCACGACCAGACCCCAAAAAAAGAATTTTCTTGGAAATACAAATGCGCGCGCGTGCGCGCGCACACACACACACACACACACACAACTATTGAGAAGCCTTTTCTCCCCAAGTTCATTTACTCCCAAACAAGCTTTAGAGTCACGTCCCAACATCTGGGGATATAGCTACCGAGATCTGAGGATTAAGGTTCAAAGCCAGCTAGGAGACAGAAAAGTTTGTAATACCAGATCTTCAATTAACTAGTAAAATGCCAATTTGTAGTTACGGCTTAAGTGGTAGAGCAAGATAGCTAAGGCAGAATGTTAGTGCTGAGTGCAAGCCCTTGGTACTGCCCTCCTCAAAACTAAATCCTCAAATATTACCTTTTTCAATTATACATTCCTTGGTTCAAGAGGTTAATGTCAATATAAGAAAACCAAGTATTTCAGTCACTGAAGGGTAGGCATGGTTGTCAAATGGTACTTAATAGGTCACATATAAAACTCTAGTTATACATTAACCAGGTTTACTTTTATCTATACCCAATTCCACTTATAAGATGGGGAATTCTTGTTCTCAGAGGTAGAATTATTACTGAACTTTCTAATTTTTTTTTTGTGGTCATGGGGCCTGAACTCTGGGCCTGAGTGCTATCCCTCAGCTCTTCAGCTCAAGGCTAGTGCTCTACCACTTGAGCCACAGCACCACTTCCAGCTTTTTCTGCTTAGTGGTGCTGAGGAATTGAATCCAGGGCCTCATGCATGCAAGGCAAGCACTCTATCACTGAGTCACTTTCCCAGCCCTGAATTTTCTAAATTTTGTAGGAAGAGAATACTAAAATCAGGTATAAAGTCAGTACAATGGAATGTTAAAAATCAGTCACACAAGAGCCAGTATAGTAATACAACCTTGTGATCTAAGCACCTGGGATGTTGAGACACATATGAGTTCTGAGGCCAGCCAGGACTACCCAATCACTCCAATCTCACAAAATCTCCAGATCAGACATTCACACATGAAAAACAGTCATACACAAAGAGTCAAGACGACTATTTTTTTTGGGGGGGGAGGCCAAATTATTATTTTATAATTTGATTACAACCAATTTTGTTGGCATTCAAATTAGAGACATTTTAAGTTTGTGAAACAATGGCTATATACCCAAACCAGAAATTACGTTTGGTAAAAATGGGAATAGTTTTCCAATAATTACAGATTAGATGGCAGAAATCAATTTAAAGAAACACAAACCTCATGTTCACAATGATTGTGCCACAAATTTCAACTTCAGTAGTGCATTAGTAAACTTCACATTTAGATTTTCACTTTTGAGATTTGACAGTTGTTTCTTGAAAAAGAAAAACAGTACCATGTGCAAATAAATCGGTCTTCCATGTGCCTTAGCACATAAAATTTCTCCACTGTATATATACAAAACACCTACCAGGTTGGCAGGGCAAAATACACTTTCATAACAAAACTATAATGTACCTCTCAAGTATGAACAATATACACATAATACATGGTATACAGTATTTACAAAATATAAAATATAATACAAGCTGTTTGTATGTAACTTTTTTTAAGCTCATCTTTTGCACTTGTGTGTTGCAACAAGGCAAATTTCCATTTCTGTACCCATTTTCCTTTAGAGTCCAGAAATCTGGGGAATACTGTTTTACATTACAAATCTAAGTTTGAACTTTCAGGAGCGTTTTTAAGTGCACTGCCATCAGCTCCCTATTGGGGTTGGCATTTTCAGCAGTGGTTCCCATCCAGTGACTAGGAGGCTTTGGAAGAACACTAGGAGAA